GTCAAATTGAGCCATTAAAAATGCCCTATCCCATCTCATTATACTAGTTAGTTGAAAACGGTTTCCCAATCCGGGTTATCAAGTGGTTATCAGACTCCCCAGTAAATTAGCTAGTAACAGCTAGTACAAGTCCCAATAGCCAAGCAACCAGGGTCATTTGTATGGCTCAATTGTTTTTGATTCCAAACTCATAGAGAGACCATTTTCACTGGTGGGTTTCTAGTCTCCACAGGGCACACTGAAAATTGGCCCACTGAAAACTATGAAAATTTCCAGTTCGCTATGAATGACCAGAGGATATGTGTTCAAGATTGTTCTAAATTCTTCCAAGGGAACAAAATCAAGCTACCTCTAGTTTTCCGGATGAAGAGCTGGCAGACGTCACAGACCAGCGCGAGGCATTTGCTCATGACTGGGGATCAACAAGCGAAAAGTCGCTGCGGAAATGTCCTTCCGAAGCGGCATTTTGTGACAGGAAAAGGATCATTTTATGAATTCTGTTGTTTTTGTCCATGGCTCCCAAAGGCTTGTAGCCAACAACTGCATGTCCAAACTGAAGTTGGTTTCAAAGACTTGGACATCACACACCCACCATGTTGTGGGTTTGCTGGTAACCCAAGCTACCCGCTCAACAACCAGGAGTTCTAGAGAAGTATGAAATCAATTTCCCCTCGGTTTTCTAATATGTTCAATCGGTATATCAGTATATCCATCCATATACCAATATACCTGGTACCAAAATCACTTGAAAATCCCCAGCTCAATCGCATGGCACAGCGTCACGCTCAGGGTTCGAGGGCTTCAAAACAAGACCAAAAACTGCCAGTTGATGCTCGCTAAAGGAACAACATCTTTGGCTAACTGATCTCCGATCTAGGGATGGGTCAGAACCTCTTTTGGCATTTTTAGGGGCATTAATGGCATGGAGGTCCGACCATACCATCCCTTTGGATGTCCACCACCAAGGTTTTAACCCACAGCCGTTATATGGTTTTGCCATGTTTGATGGAAGATGTGTTCCAATTCCACTGTTTTTCCTGTGGGATAATTAAAACCAGCCTGAAACCCGTCCCACACTGGGGATGAAACAAATCGATGTGTTCGGCTCATGCCGGGGGTTTCAGTGTGTTTCGCGGTTCACTGTCAGAACTGTCCTCCTGCGAGACGGAGGCAGTGTTAAAAACAGCTGTTGGAGAAGCATTTTTTGTGGGGTGTTCAATGGGGGACTCCCAAGTCACCATACGTTTCAACTACTACAGTCTGACTTCGAGGATTTGGTGACCATTTTAAGACACTTCCATATGGGGTAGAGTTGGTTTAGCCTCTTGGCAAGTTGAGGCATAGGATTGAGTAAGTTGAAGTGTAGCATCAAGTGGGCAGGCACCGCACCCCATCTCCCCCCACCTCACCATATGCATATTTCTGTGTGAAACACACAGAAAAATGGTCCAACTACATGAACATGTATCGACCGTTGTACATGACTCGTTCCACGGGGTTGAAGAAGCCCACAGATGCATACATATGTATTTACTTTATTTTTTTGCACGTGTGTGCATACTGATATATTGCATGACTATGTGTGTGTACATATATCTGCATGTGGATATGCGGATGCACATGTATGTTTGTACATATGTGCATATGTACGTGCATATACAGTATGTGTGAGCATAAATGGTGGCGCTAGAGAGAATCATGCGATTGACTGGCTGTGATTGTTTGCCGATAGGTGTTGACCATAGGACTTGTGGGTACCACCAATGACCAAGAGAAGCACCACCAAGAGGATTGCTGCCGATTTAGATACAAAATATTGTGTTTATTATATACTATATACATAAATAATCACATGGGTTCTATATACATATGTTGACATACACATAAAGCGTATACATATGTGTATATATATAGAGAGAGAGAGATACAGTAACTAATAGGTATGTGTCATATTTGTCATATTGTAATTCTGTGTCGTACTTGATTTTCCGATGGACACGTCCAGCCTCAAAATAAAATGATTGGTTTTTTTGCCGACACGCCGCAGTTAATAAGTGGATAATAACCATATTGAAGATACTATACCCATGGATTGTATGGATGTGGAATATGGATATTATAGATATGGAATATGATATTACATACAATACCCAACTTACATATGGAATATACATGAATATACCCACTTATACAGCACTGATAAGCGTGTATTTTTTTAAGCCACTTACGATTTCTGGGATTCACATACAAGATCAACCCCAAAATCAGCCACAACGTTAGCATGTTTTGAAGGGGAAACTGCAGTTTCACTCCTCTGGGTTTGTGATACCCCTCAGTTTTTCAGAAACGCAGCCGTGAAATTTATGGCCACTGTTGGCAAGCTGCGTAATGAAACTTTGTTGTCAACATCTGAGAGCCCCAAAGGCCAGAGATTATTACCCTCCGGTCATTTAACATAGCTATGGAAAATGGCCCATTTCTAGTTGATTTAACTGTTAAAAGAGTAGAGTACAGTAGAGTAGAGTAGTAGAGGAGAGGAGAGGAGAGTACAGTAGAGTAGAGGAGAGTAGAGTAGAGTAGAGGAGAGGAGAGGAGAGTAGAGGAGAGTAGAGTAGAGTAGAGTAGAGGAGAGTAGAGTAGAGTAGAGGAGATGAGAGTAGAGGAGAGTAGAGTAGAGTAGAGTAGAGTACAGTAGAGTAGAGTAGAGGAGAGGAGAGTAGAGTAGAGTAGAGGAGAGTAGAGTAGAGTAGAGTAGTGTAGAGTAGGGTAGAGTATATAGATATATAGATAGATAGATAGATAGATAGATGGATAGATAGATAGAGTCGATACAGTATTAACAGTACATGCCCATTTCGTTCGGGGATTCCCAAATGCGGCCAGCTGCGAGTAACCCCCCACAATGGGTCACGACGGCTTGACGTGACCTTCACCGCACCTCAATGTCTGCCTTTTCGCTGGACCCTGCAGCTGCCGCCTGCGATGGCGACGGGCTCAAATAAACTGAAAGGATAGATATCCCCAAAAAACATCGCTATAAACTTGGATATAAACTGAATGTCTAAGTTTCAGTCCGTCTATATAGATCTATATATGTATATGTATGTATATATATATGTGATTCTATATGATTCTATATGATTTGGCAATTTGACATGGTGATTTTCCCTTCCAAACGGCATCAAATGACCAGAGGGTATTCTCAAAATGGATGCGTGTCAAAATGGGGTGTACGCAAACCAATGGAAGGCCATGTGTATTGGGAATACATGATGTTCTAAATCATCAAATTTGGGGGCATTCAATCTTCAAACAAATCCATGTACAGTATCTATTTATTGAATTGTTCTGATGTTTCTCTTCATCTAAGGACAATCCGTTTACCACAGGATGTTGGCATCTGCTAATCCACATCAGAACTGGTCCTGGGACGCCAACCCAAGGCTGAAATTTTGGATCCATTTCTTCCAGATCCCCGGTCCCAAAGGATCTCGGGCCTGGAGGTTTAGAGATCCCAGCATCAAAAAATGCGAACGGAACGAAAAAAAATGGGGAAACCATGGGGAAACAAAGAAATTGGGGACATCAGTGACCGGTGAACCATGATGATCATGATGAAATGCAGATAGCAGAGGCAGCTTTTGAAGCATGTGTCAAAAACACATACTGTTTACAATCAGCAGAGAGTTTGTCGGCACACGGTTTGTCCAAAAAAAAATATGCTACGGCTCAAAGACCGAGGAGATTGCAAAACACAAAGGGCAAAAACTGACCATCATGAACAAAGTACATCAAAATACAACATGTTGTCCAATTTGGTACTGAACTTTACTGAACCATCCCATTTTCAGCTTTGACCCCTTTCCTAATGCCATGCCAGTTTCCGAGGCGCGATTTTCGACGATTTTCAGGCATGGGTTTTGCGCTCTTGGAGCACCAACAGAGACTCGCCCTTTTTAAGGGCGAAGGAGTTGGCAAGTTGCCACTTGAGGTTTTCCAGTTATTTTCGCAGGGCCAATATGCATCTTGTTCTATGATGTTTGATGTGAATCATATAAATAAGTCACTACTCACAATCATTCATCACATTTGAGAACATATCATGATCGTTTGTTGCTCATATTAATGCATATGAGAACATCCTCGTTTTGTCATGTTTTGTTGCTCAAATGATCCTTGAATCATACTGAGAACAAACTACATTGGATCATGCTGAGAGACACACCCAGCCAAAGATCCCGCACACACGAGGTGCAATTCCTTAAAAAACAATCACCAGCAAGTGGCCACCGCGAACCGCACTTCCCCCCATGCCCAAAGCAGTTGCGATGTCCACCTCTGGAGCTACGAACGAGAGATTCGTGGCAAGCTGCTTCGCAGCTCCACATCTCCAATATTCTCCTCTTTTCAAGCCATGTCAGAATGATAAGGTCGTGAGGATTTGCCCCATGAACCACTGAAGCGTGTTGGGTTTAGGGTGGTATGGGGGGGTATGAATCAGCCACAAGCGCTAGTAAAACTTTGAAGGTCACAATCCTTGAATCTCAAAAGATGTGGGGGCACCAGCTCTGATGTCCCACCCGGTGCCTGTCAGTGAGTGGTTAAAAAAGGCACTATTAGTAACCCATATCCATTCTATCATAGATATAATATATATATATATAATATCATATATATATATTATATTATATTATATATTTTTAAAAAAATCTATACATAAAATTGGGCTATACTTGAATTTCGTACCAGCCCTGCAACTCTACTCGGCACCTGTGGATATCGTGAAGAAAATTGTGACCAACTGGGGATGATTAGCCACATGACCTCGCTATTGAACATAAATTAACGATCTTCATACATATCTATATATATATACATACATACATACATACATACATACATACATATACATAATTGTTTATATATATATATAATCATATAATACCCTATATACATATATATATACACCATATATATATATATATACATTATAAATATATGTGGTTTCCAACCATCAGGATCAGAATCCTCTGACCGTCATGCGCTCAACTTCGTATAGGCACCCAGAGAATTGAAATATCTCTTGGGTCCGCCTTCTTCCACGAGCCAACTCCTAAGCTTCGGCGATGTCTGACTGGATAGGTTTTAACATGCTTTAACATGAAAACATCGAAAATTGAAGCAAAATATAGAACAATCATGAACATTGAATGGATTACCCCTTTACTGTAGTACATGAAAACTCATCAGGATTGATATAGGCGGCTATCCCTGAATCGGCCTTCTCCAACGGAAGAGGCTTGGGGGGTCGGCCAGGATGGTGGTGCATTTGATGAACTGGAACAAATATATACTCCTCTGGGTAACAGGACAAAAGTGCAAAAGCCCTAAACCCAGATTTACCATCACTTCAGAAAATCGTCGAAATGTGGCGGAGAGAAGTTGGTGACCCAAGCGCCACGTCACTGGGTCGATCTCAGGGACGAAATCCTGTGTTGGGCGTCCCTATTTTTGTTTAGAAACACTCATGTGGCGACACGGGTGAGTTCCTTCAACCTGGTGATCCAAATAGCTGGTTGGTGATGTTCATCTCTCAAAAAAGTGTGGTATGTCATAGGTGTCGATCCATCCCCATATCTGCAACTTGGCGAATTTTTAAGCGACACCCATCCATTTTGGCTTTCATATCAGATGAAGCCGACAAGTCCCAAGTACCACAACCCCCCTGGTGCTGGGCGTCTTGATCCTCTCAATTTCTTCCGGTTTCATTCCCTTCTTCAGTGCAGCCTGGCGTCCGCTGGGCTGATGTTCAGGCTGGAAATCTGTGGCTAACCTCTCAGGTCCCTCATCAAAATCATCAAATAAGGCCTGACTAAGGGATGGTGAATTAACCTCCATCAACCCCAAACAATAGGGGCGTATTATTAATCCCCCATGCTTTCGAGGGTCAAAATTAAAGGGGTTGCCCTCGAACTCCCATGATAATTCCTTCTATTCCATGACATCGTGTGGGAAGAATTTCAACGTTTTGCATGGCACACACAAAATCATATGTGACTAAAATATATTTTATCTACAAATCACAGATCGAATTTGGAGTGTAATAGTGTGAAAATTATTGAAATATCATGAAATCCAAAACAGGCACTGGTCAAAATTGGGAACTCTCCAAATAGGTGTTGATCAAATACACTTGAAATATACATGCTCTTATCATAATTCTTAGATCGGCTCCACTGTTCCGTGGCTGAAAACAACCAATGAGTCGTTGGTCCCCATGGGCCCGAACCCTTTTGATCCACATCTTGTGCAATCTCCATGGTCGATGGGTGAAAAGCATGTTGCTTGCGTACCAGTACGTTCCAGCTCTTGTTGGCTTCAATATATTAGTGTCAATGCTCATTTCTATTGGTTCAGTGAGGATCCTTGTGGGTTGCATAGCTAATCATAGCTATGGCTCAATTGTTCAAACCTGAAAAATGGATGCGTTACTGCTAAAAATGGCCAAAGTTGCTTAAATCCACCATTCCGGTCGGCGTGAATCACCGATTTCGGCTGAGGCTCTAATTAGTTTGTCAATTAACCTAATTAACCCTTGATTTAAAAAATGCTGGGCTTGTTGACTGGGTGTAACTTCAGCAAAATCAAGGTTTATTTGATCTATAAAACATGTTTGTGTTGGCTTGTCTCACTAAAAATGCCCATGTTCATGGTCAATCTTTGATAGTCCACCAAAAAATGTGCATCTTTTGCTGGTGATTTTGCATAAAACTCCGCAACGATCCAGGAAGAAAGTACACATCCAGTCGGTCGCGGCCAGGCGGCTGCGCTTCGTTCCGAAGACAAGGGATGGTTCGTCAAAAGCTCCTGGCTGAAACCCGAAGCCCATGGGATTGTCGGGGTGAAAATGAATTTCCATTGGATTGTAATGTCCATAGTTTATAGGGCTTGATATAGGGGTAATAATGGGGGTTTAGATGGGGATTTAATAAGAATATCATGGGGATATATCAACCATCATGCCTGCCAACCATGGGGGAATCATCTGTAAATGGTGATGAATTGGGAATTTCACCAACGATAGTGGGACAAATAATGGACATATCATGGGGATTTTATGGGAATGTAATGGGAATATATTAATCAATGGGATTAGTTGATAGGGATTTAATGGTGATCAAAATGGGACATGAAAACTATCAAGAATGGGAATCATCAATGGATAGTTTTCATGGTGATTTTAGTGGATACAAAAAATGGTGATTTTCATGGTTTTTAATGGGGATTTGACTCTAATGGGAACATTTTATGGGGATACATCAACCAGCAGAATATAATAGGGATGTGATGGGAATATACCCTCGAACGATTATCAAACGTAGCTTTCTCGAAAAGCCTAGTTTTTTCATGGGAAAACCCATCCTAAAATGGAGAAAATGCCATGGCGCCATCTTTGAGTGAGGGTAGATGTAGATGTAGATCTAGATATACAATATATGATCTATATGTGTTGGTTTGTAACTCATTCTATTGTATTCTACTGCAATGTAAATGTAATGTAATGCAATATGATGCAATATGATGCAATATGATGCAATGTGATGTAATGTCTTGTAGAAAAATGTCATGTGCATATTGCATGTATAACCGTATGACCCCATCCCCATCCCTTGCGAAGAAACATCCCCTGAATGGCAGCTGGAGAATAACATAGACATAGGTATTTGTACATATCTGGTTGGTGGTTGAGCCACCCCTTTGAAAAAAATGAAAGACAGTTGGGGTTACTATTCCCAATATATGGAAAAATAAAAGCCATGTTCCAAACCACCAACCAGATATATATATATATATACAGGTATACCTGGGCATGTATGTGCATATAATAGCATACATGAGGTCCCTGGCTAAGCTACTCAGTGGTTCTGAACCACTGACGATTTACAGGATGCGCATCCAGGAAGATCCCCCGGTTCGAGGATCTTCCCGGCGCAACCTCCATGGCTAGGTCACGGAGATTTCCCAGGTTTCATGACACCGGAGGACCAAGTTCTCCACGTTCTCGGCCAAGGTTCTTTCAGCAGAACTGGGCATTCTTCAGGATCTTCTTCGATCAGAAATCTCTTGTAATCCTTGCCACTGATGGTAGCCTGGAAGCGATTACACCAGGCGAACCGGGCTTCGAACCGGGTCGAAGCAAATCGCTGAAAACATATTCCCCATATGACATGGCCATGGAAAATGGATGCGGAATTATACCCATCATAGATATGTTGATTGAAAAAATATGGATGACCATGATCAATGTGGAAAATCATGATCTGCCATGAGACGGGTTTATCCAATTTTCAGACATGTGAAAACAAAAAAAACATTTGAGAAATGCCAAACAAAAGCATCAGCAATCAGACCTGGGAATGACTTAGGTTGCAATTTTTTATAAAGGTCATACAGACTGAACATGGAGAACTACTCGTTTAACAAAAAGAAAGACATGGAGATCCGCCGAGTCCATCCATCTGCATCTGCGTTGTGTTTACACACCAGGTGTCAGCCCAGGAGCCATCAACAAGAAGCTGGTCCAAAAGCCCTCCTTTGCCTAGGGCCCCAGCAGCTTGCAGGACGAATTTGATCTCATCAACGACCCTTCACCAGTTGGGTTAAGAAAAAACTGGTAAGGTTCAAGTAGAAAACCCCATTTATGACAGGAGTAGAGTATTGCCCTGAACACATTCCAATTACAATATAGCAACTCCAAACAAGATTTGTGTTTGACAAACATATTTTGTCTCAAATTTTAGCCCTCTATCTCTCTCTCTCTCTCTCTCTGTTCTGGGGGTTGTTGAAAAACGTATACAGTATCCCCGTTTTTCCCCATTTCATCCTCATTTTAGACGGTTGAATGTTTCTTGGTCAATGTGATTGATGTTTGTTTGAAATGCCCCTCAGTTGTGACTGGATTTATTACCCCACTTCACTGGTAAGAAAAAATCAAGTCAGGTTTGTGGTTATAGCAACCCCAAAAAAGTTCAATAGACTTTCCATGACAGGCTCCGTCTTGATGGTTTGCTCTCAATGTTTGATGGTCAACTCCCTATTCTTAATGGTTCTCCCGGTTATACCTATTATATCCCCATTGTACCGTTATATCCCCATTTCATGTTTCCATCATTGGTTGCATAATATCAATTACATATATATATATATATAGTCATCCTGGAGTAGATAGATTTTGGACATGTCGAAAAACAAAAAACCGTAATGAAATTGGATTCCATCTTTGAAGAGTCCATCTTCTGTCTACTTCAGGATGATTATATATATATGTATGAGTTATGTGTATATATATATATATGGCAATGGGTCAAAACCTTGTACCCCTTTTGTTCACATCAAAATAGCTAGTGATGTCCATCCCTCTAAAAATGGTACTAGGTATTGAAGGTATTGATCCATAGCCATATGAATATCCCCATGTTACCCTCTGGTTATTTAACATAGCTATGGAAAATCATCATCTTTAATAGGTAAACCATCTATTTCTATGGGCCATCTATACCATGGCTATGTTAAATAACCAGAGGGTATATCCCCATTGTATATCTATTTGAGTTGCATGAATGAAATCCCCACGAAATCCCGTTTTGTTTATGAGTGAAATCACCATTTTTATGAGCTAAATCCCCTTGCTGCAAACCCATTTTAGTCTTAAATCCCCATGTTTAGTAATGTGGGTAAGACAATAATAATAATTCATCCCCCAAATCACCATACATAGGTGGTATAAACTATTCCCAAATGGGTAGATGGTAAAATCCCAGGTGTCCCACTGGTTGACCAGGCTGCTGCCACCAGCGATGCCAAGGTCCGTTCCCAGGCAACAAAAATCGCTGGAGGCCACTGCATCCCGGTGACCACCTGCTCCTGGCTGCCCAGTTCCAGATGCTTATTGAGTTTATTGATTTTTTTTGATGGTTCATGAGACCTATGTCTGAAAACACACATATATATATATACAAATATATATATATATACAAATATATACAAATATATATATATATATAATGAGGGGAAAAAAAAGGGTTTGCTGCCCGGCGAAGTGCGTTTTGACTGCGCAGGGCCAGTGTTTTATAAGATTCGGGATGTCTTCCATCTCCCCTGATGGAAGACGAGAATTGCCATCATCATCATCATCATCATCATCATCATCATCATCAAGAAACCCTGAATGAAACCCTGAATGAAACCCTAAAGAAACCCTAAAGAACCCCCAAATGAAACCCTAAAGAAACCCTACTGATATATATATATATACCTATAGATATAAGTGATAACTGTCTGATGTACCCCCCGGCCAGGGCGGCACACCCGGCCGGGTGCATAATTATACATATATATATATATGTTTGATGAGTTTCATTATTTTTGATGGTTAAATAGCCATATATTGCTTGTTATGTTCCACATATATATATACATATTCATATCTCTATATTTTGATGGTCAATTAGCCATCCAGCCCATGTCAAGTGTGATGGGTTTGATCAAATTACCAGCTGGTTCTAAGTAGATGCTGGCATCGATTCTGGAAGGAAAATCGTCCAATCAAAGTATGTGTTGATCACTCGATATGTGTGCCTGTATGTCTATAAAAAGGTGTATTTACCAGGTACCATCTGGTAACTAACATAACTGAGGAAAATTACCATGTTTAATACGTAAATCAACTATAAATGGGCTGTGTTCAATATCAAACTGTTTGTCTACCAGGCCGGGTATTCCAGAAATCCTTGATGATTTGATCATGTAGACCATTGAATTCACAAGCAAATAAGCGGGTTGACTCAAACACATCAACACACAAATAAATAGACAACACTAAAACTGTCTCCCAACATGTTTATGTATGGATGTGTATCAATATACTTTCATACGTATGTATATATATGTGTGTGTGTGCATGCATGCATGCATGCATGCATGCATGAATGAATGAATGAATGAATGAATGAATGAATGAATGAATGAATGAAACAATGAAACAATGAATGAATGAAATGTATGTATTGTATTGTATTATATTGTACTGTACTGTACTGTATTGTATTGTATTGTATGTATGTAGGTATGTATGTATGAATGAATGATATGATATGATATGATATGACATGATATGATATGTATGCATGCATGTATGCATGCATGCATGCATGCATGTATCTATGGATGGATGTATGTATGGTCTGTATGGATGGTCTGTATGGTCTGTATGGTCTGTATGGTCTGTATGGTCTGTATGGTCTGTATGGTCTGTATGGTCTATATGCTATGTATGTTATGTATGGTGTGTATGTTATGCATGTTGTGTATGTTCTGTATGTTATGTATGTAATGTATGCAATGTATGCAATGTATGCAATGTATGTAATGTAATGTAATGTGATGTAATGTAACGTAATGTGATGTAACGTAACGTAACGTAACGTAATGTATGTATGTACGTACGTATGTATGTATGTATACATACATACATATATTCACAGCATATCGTTTATCCACCCATACTGATGATTGGACCGAGCATCATAGTCGCTGGTTAAGAACTCCTGCACAGCTCTTCGATTTTCCGTGTCAATGTCGAAGATGTTCACCTCAAAGCGTTTGAATAAATGGAAAGATATCCACATGATGTAATCCCATGGTTGATCATCATTTCTCGCACTTAAACGGCCATGAAGTGAGGTATATTGCGTTTTCTACCAACCATGTTTATATATTACACATGTTGTCAATTTGACAGTGTCAATATATATATATATATATGTATATATATATATATACATATACATATATATATATATACATATACATGTATATATGCATATTCTGGCTAAGAGTATGTATATATAGTAACTATAATATATTATCAACTGTAGGCAACTATTATTCAATAGTTGCAACTATAGATTATGTAGTTCATAGGCTTGAGAATTATAACTATCATTGACTATACAGATCATAATATCTGGTTGGTGGTTTCAACTCCTCTGAAAAATATGAAAGTCAGTTGGGATGATGAAATTCCCAATATATGGAAAAATAAAAGCCATGTTCCAAACCACCAACCAGATAGTGATTTTCAATAGTTATGTTAGTTTACCAATAACCATATCTTATAAAATATACAATAGTTATATTATATCAACCAGATATACTATAAGAAGTACCCTCTGGCAATCTAACATAGCTATTGAAAATGGCCATAGGAATCGTTGATTTACCCATTAAAAATGATGATTTTCCATAGCTATGTTAGTTTACCAGAGGGTAAACCTCCATTTTCCTATGGTTTTCCTATGGTTTTCATGGCAGCCCTGAGTCGTCCTGTTCTCCGAGCCCGTCACCATAGACATGGTAAAGCTCACCAGTCGGAGCCTCGCCGAAAACTTCAGGCGCTGCGAAAGGGAATTTCTGGTGAGCAAACCGAGAAAAAGCAAACATTTATCATAATATATATATATATATATGTTTATAATATATATATATACAGTACGTTTATAATATCTATATATATATATATCTTTATGATATATATATATATATTAATCGGGTGGTTTTCCAGAGAGGCTGGCTGACCGGAAGTGGAAGATTCTGAACTTTGAATGGTTTTGAAGTGAAGTTTCCCACTGGCTTCACTTGGAGCAGTATCACGAATAGCCCAAGTCTGGCACTACTGACGGCTAGTTGATTGGCCGCTTGCCGCTAGAGTTGAAGAATATTGGTGCTTAGGTGGTGTAGCAACAAATCTAAAAAAAATGAGCTGTCCATGAAAAGTAAAATCGTGTTTTGTTCACAACAACTCTACTTGGTGGCGAACTACCCACGAATCGTAAGTGGGTTAGTTCACCCCAGTTATAAGTGGATTAACCCTACAAAAATCCCATGTCAATCACTGGGGTTATAACCCACAACCACGATTCGTGGGTAGTTCGCCACCAAGTAGGCACCAAGCCTTTCTATCCACACTCCCAAGAACTGCCCTGTGCACGTGGCTCAGCCGGGGCCCACACCATTCACCAATGCTGTAGGCGGACATCATGTGAACCTCAACAGGAACAGGCCAAAATTGACCAGATATGGGGGGGCAAAAATTAGAAGAAATTGAATACATTAAAAAATAATTGGTGTTAATGAAGGCATTCAATACATTTCAAATACTCAACACATCACTGTTTCTTGATCGGTGTTCTTGTCATTGAGGGGAAGGGATTGCATCAACACATCCATAGATTATGCCGGCAGGTTGTGATGTGACTGGTGAACTCTAGAAAGAGAACATCAAGTTGGAATGGCCTTCCCATGTAGATAGGATGACATCCAACCACGTGCTTCGGCCGTGTTGTTGGCAGTGAAGATATGAGAACTGCACTGCAAATCTCATGGCTACAATGATTGGATGTGCGAAGAAGATCTGAACTGAGTTCAAAGTCAATGTGGGCCATATCCAACGCTTTCCGATGTTGGACATCTGGGCTATCCGAATATGGATACCCCTAGATTCTAGATTCACTGTTTCATCATCATAGTCCCTGTTCACACTTTAAAAACCTTTAAAAAAAAGAACATTCATGCTCCAAGGGGCCTAGGACATCGTAACTAGATACCTATATTCATGACTTTAAACTAGCATAGATGTGGAAAATCAGCCATGTGTGAATTATATTCCAAATGGGAAACCATAATTTTGCACATCTATGTAGACGTTTATCCCACAATAAACACCCATATATATATATATGTATAGTTGTACCAGTATAAGCTATCCATATATATATAGGGGCTATAAGCCAAGTTGTAACATATATACTTATAGTTGTACCACTTACAGTCTGGTACCATATATATATATAGTTGCCACCCATATATATATATATATATACCCTCTGGTAAACTAACATAACTATGGAAAATCACCATTTTTCATCGGAAATTTCACTATAAATGGTGATTTTCCATAGTTATACCACATATATCCTGCTTATATGGCGCAACTAGACCCCATCCCCCCCTCACCGGTCGGTCGGTCCGGAGCCGTGCAGCGCTCACAAAGTCGATCTGGGTGGCCTTCACGGCCAGCACGGCAACGCCAAAGAGACCTTCACGGCGTCTCGGTACGGTGACCAGGGGTGACCATGTATAATGTATATATATGGTATCACTATAGCTATTAAAATGGTGATTTAGTTCGTGGATTTACCCATTAAAAATGGTGATTTTCCATAGTTATGTTAGTTTACCAGAGGGTATATATATATATGTGTATGTATGTATGTATATGTATATATATATGTGTATATATATATGTATGTATATATATGTATATATATGTATGTATATATATATATATGTGTGTGTATGTATGTATATATATATACCCTATGGTTCTTTAACACAGCCATGATATAGATGGCCCATAGAAATAGATGTGTTTTAATGATTTACCCATTCAAAATGGTGATTCTCCATAGCTACGTTAGATAACCAGAGGGTATATGTGTGTGTATACTTATATGTATCTAATATCTATATGTGGTGAAAACAAATATGTATATAATGGGGATGAATGTGGATTCATATATCTAATGGTGATGAATATCTAATTTAATGGTGATTAATATATAATTAGTGTAGTTATATATCTATATAATGGAGATGGATTATTCTCTAATGAAAACAATATTTTACAATGATCTATATCATGGTGGTACCCCCTTATATATATATCCGTATATATTTCATGATGGTTTCTTTAAATGGAGGATCCCCTATTGTCACCATGGTTGTTCAATGCGTTTCAAGACTAGTTTATGGTCCAATCACTTGGATGATTTGGGAATGAGGTCTTGAAGATGATGTTCGATACTTGCATACTTTAGCACTTAGGGTTTCCATGCAACTTTAGAGCAAATGGGCTTAGAATGGCTTAGATAGATGTCATTTGAGCTCATATGCATTTGTACATTAGACATATTTATATGTGTATATACGCTACAAAGACTATCATATATGCATATATGTCATATTTACATATATTTACAGTATAATTGATTATATATTTCAGCTGACTTTTTGTGGTTTGTCGCCTGCAACCTGCGAACCCATCACGCTCCAAAGTTGCACCAACAGTAGAGTGATGCGAAGATGTGGACCAACAGGCTGGAAGATTTCTTAAAATTGGGTCTTACAGAGTCTTACATGATGTAATAAATGATGCAATTTTGATGCAAAATCTGATCCAAAGATGACCTACTCCATCCATTTATCCATGACCTTACTTCGCAGCCTTGCTCGATGGGTCGCCTGAGGTGATGTAGCCAACTGCTTCAATGAGACCCATGATGTATTGCATGCTGGGAGCGAAAAAGTACTTGCCTTGGCCGGCGGAATGCGGCTCGAATGTTTTCTATCATGGTGAGTTGTTGTGATGGGTGTTGGTGAGTTGGGCAGGACACAGACGCTGTTATTGAGTTTCAAGTATCTCCTTTGTCAATTGTGGTGATTGTAACATGGATGCCGAGTAAGTAAAATGTACAAGTATATATAAAAATAGATATACACACATTGCATATATATATATATATGGAATCACACGGACACCTATCTGCGCAACTCTTCCCTAGCTGATCAACTCATATCATATTATTGATACATATTATTGATACATATTATTGATACATATTATAGAATTATATATAAATATGTATATGTACGGTATACCCAGCTACTGTTGGCACCTGAAACCCTGGACGGAGCCCGGCCGCCCAACGGCATCCCAGGGACATTCCTTCATGACGCGCTCGGTTCGCTGCGCCAAACGAGACATCGACAAATTGCGAAGCAACCTGCGGGGCCATGGATCGAGCGGAGCCCAATGCCCAAATCAAGGCAATAATCACGGAATCTTACAAATCTGAATGACTGCTATACATGTTACAATGAAATTATATATATATATACTGTATAATTATGTGTATATATATATATATGTATGTATATATATATATGTATATATGTATATATATATATATACGTATATATATATATGTATATATATATATGTATATGTATGTATATATATATATGTATATATATGTACATATATATATGTATATGTATATGTATATATATATATATGTATATATACATATATATGTATGTGTATATATATATATATATATGATTATGTACGTATGTATATATATATATCCCACGAGAATATCGAGATAGGTCTCCTCACAACCCCGATTCACGGGCACACGGGCACACGGGCACACGGGCAAGGGCCACCAGAGCACTGCTCTCAGAATATCACCATGATTACATTGTACTCTCTCATTATTACACCATCGTTCGTATACATAGTTGTATCCCACTGTCACTCTAGTTTATTGTCATTCCACTATATTATCCCACTTGTATTTATGATTCAAAAAAACCTTTGTATTAGTCAATTAATATCCGATCAATACCCCATCAATTATTATTCCATCAATAATCATTGAATTATCATAATTATCCCATCTTATGGTAGTACTTATATATGATATATATGCCGATAATAGGATTATATATCATGGCTAATTGATGGTATCATTACAGGATGGTGCCCCCTCAATTATATAAGTTGCTTTATAAACCCCATTGACTAGTTCGTTATATCAACCATAAACCATAGAATTCAGCCACTTATAATATCTTATAATGACATATAACTTCAGTTGATCCCATAAAAATAACTGTTACTTGGGCCATCACTGTAGTTGGGCAACTTAGATGCAACTGAACGCGATTTCGAACGGGGGCCCCAGTATCCCATCGCCCCAAGTCGAGGCACTGCATGGAGGACCACGAGGCAATGTCCCTGGCAGCATCCGCCAGCACGGCGCCTAGACTCGGCGGCAAAATGGTGACCGGAAACGGCCCGGTGACCGGAAGACGGAAATGGGGAATGTGAGAAAACTGGGTATATCCCAAAAATTGCCACTTTAATAGGGAAACTGATGATTAACACCAAAGTTTGGGGAGTACTCAATTTTCAAAACAAACAATATATGTAGATTTGATGAAACCCAAAAATATGTTTCAAATAAAATCGAAGGAATCATGAAACGTGAATCACATGCAATTTTTCATCAACCAAACAAACTGATGAAAAACAGGACGTGTTTATCAATCAAGGCGCCATGGTTAGTCCAGGATACCCTGAGAACAAGACAGAAGCGGCTAAATGGTCATATCATTAAGATGGTAAAACAGTAACCCTATTGACAAACAACTGTAGTTGTCAGAATATAGTGAAGCACAGTGATTTTTAGTTGGTGATGAAACCATCCCATGCCCAATTTTTTTTGCCCAAAAATATGCGGGATTAAGCTGGATCATCATCTACAGAAAAAACTACAGATTCAACGGAAAATAGAATACATTTGAAACACAGCAATCAATTTAGCAAGTGGCAGTGGTAATAAATTGAACATGTTGGTGTCTCATTCGTATTGAAGTTGATCAGCCAGTTTGGTGAAAATCCAGTGCAGTTTTACGGCAATGAACTCACGAAATCCCACAAACTGTGAAATGAAGAAACGAGTGTTGTGCTCATTAATGGCTTTGACCCATGACTGACCTTCAGGTCTGGAAATCCATGAGGGTTGGAAGCCAAAACAGGCTTGAAACAACTTGTAACCACAAACTTTGGGCCCCCGATTCTTCAAAAAAAAACACCATCTCCTATTGAGAAAACTCCATTCACAGATGGTTTCCATGAGTTTGCCAGCTCCCCAAATCAAAGCTTGAAGTTCATCCTGTATCCACCCCGCAGCCAACTGGCCAAGACACCCATGTAGGAAAGTTTGGTATCCACTATCCACTGGAGCAGCCTGAGATGATGGACTTCCACGCTCCGGATCCCATGTCGCAATTTCGTTTAGGCTTTGTTTAGGGTTGGATTAGGGTTAATTCAAGGTTTGCTTTTTTTTAAAGATCGGTTTAAGTTGTATTTAGATTTTTCTGGGGGGTTATTTGGTGTAGGTATGTGGTTTACTTATGGTCTAAAAGTCTAAAATGTCCATTTCGGATGGTTTTCGTGTGTATTTAGCGGTGGTTTGAAGTTTATTCCCCTGCCAGGTGGGGACCTTGAGATTTCAACAAAGCTTCACCAGCTCAGGATGCTCTGCACGCCCGGATGTTGTCGGGCACGCCTGGACCCGAACACGTGCCAAAGAGAATGCCAGAATGATTGTCAGATAGAATGTCAGAGCATATGCCAGAAAGAATGTAAAATAGAATGTCAGAACATATATGCCATATATGCTTCCAGATATGTCAGAAACTATGTCAGAATGGTGTGTCACGGTGAGGATCACTCGAAGAAAGTAATTGAGTTTTTTTTGTAGGTTTAAGGTGTTTATTGAGAGTTGGTTTAGAATCTTTATTCAGGGTTGGTTTCGGGTTTGTTTAGATTTGGGTTAGGTTAATGTCGGGTTGGTTCAAGGTGGTTATTTAGGGTTGCCTTAGTGTTATGTAGGGTGTGTTTATGGTTTATTTAAGGTTGGTTTAAGATTTATTTCGGCTTGGTAGGGTCGATGTGCGTTTGATTTATGTTGTTTCTTTCGCATACATTTAATGTTTATTTAAGGTTGGTTTAGGAATTGTTTTGGGTTAAAGGTGGTTTCGGGGTTTCTTTAAGGTTTGTTTAAAATCTATGGAAAACTGGTTTCCAAGATTTTAGGTTTCCCCAATTTTCAGCGCACCTGTAAAGGAGCATGGTCCAGTACCACCCCAGAACGATGAGCTCCAGGTATACCACGTAGTATCGCGCCTGGTTCAGCGGCCTCAGTGGTCCGCAACGAGCGGGGCCCATCCACCAATTACCATAGGGATCGAATTACCAGGTCTCCAACCAGTTACTGGAACCATGGCTGACATCTATATTTGTTGTCAATGGATTGGTTTAAGGGAAAATCTTAACCGGAAACCATAGATTTTCCCATTAAATATGGGGTTTTCCTGTAAATGTTCCCTGAAACCAATCCATTGATGTTGGTGTTTAAGTTCCGATGTTTTTTTTCCTGCTTACCTTCCGGAAAATTCACACAGATATGGAAATTCCATGGCTTTCCCTGTGGAAAATCATCAACTTTGCGGACGATCCGTCAACGCCAAGGTGCTTGGTGGGGTGGCGTTCCGGCAAGGCGCGCAGGTTCAAGACCATGCCTTCCATTGCAGAGTTTGTCCAGAAACTGGGTGTACGCCAAAAACCCTACAGTAAATTGTAATCATGAACAAGACATGGAATATTTATTTATTACTTGTTGTATTATTTACTTAGTTATTTATTTATCTATCTATCTATCTATCTATTTATTAATTTATTTACATACTGTGGATGGACGAAATCCTGCACCACCAAAAGGATGCTTGAAACTTGAAACCCTAAAAATTATAACCACCTATCAAATGGTGCAGGATTTCTTCCATCCACAGTTTTTTTTGTATGTTGTGGGATTGTATGGACATGTGTAACCAACAATGTTGCGTCTGGGTTTGTCCGAAGATAGGGGTTTTACATTGGTTTTACCCGATCAAACGGCAATTGTTTATACCGAAAATCGTGATAGGCATGATAAGCCTTTGGATTTTGGGGTAATTACCCTAATTTCGGGACACAGAACAAGTGCATCTCTGCAACGTGTGGATGTATGACATTACTCGATGGAACTCGTAGATAACTCTCTCAAAGCACCATTTCATGAGGATCTTCCTCAAGGAAAACGACTAGAAGTGACGGGAAGTTCACAAAGTGAGCGTGGCCAGATACCCTCTGGTAAATTAACATAGACCCTGAAAATAGCCTAGTTTTAATGGAAACTAATCTTCCAACCCCTATCTGCCAGGGTCTATGTTAATTTACCAGAGGGTATTGAACGTTTAAAATTCTATGC